CACAACATGCCTTCTCTGCTGGACTGGGTGGGACGGGTCAATGTAATAGGGATGAGACAGTCCCTCAGGTAACCTGGACCCATGCCATGTAGGGCTTTAAAGGTGATAACCAACACCTTGAATTGGACCTGGAAACAGACTGGAACCCAATGCAGCTCCCACAGAAAGGATGTTACATGTGCTATCCTTGGGGCACCCAAGATTGCCCACACAGCTGCATTTTGAACCAGCTGTAGCTTCTGGATACTCTTCAAGGGTAGCCCCATGTAGAGTGCATTGCAATAGTCTAAAAGAGAGATGACCAGGGCATGAGTGACAGACCGGAGGGACTCCTGATCCAGGAAGGGATGTAACTGGCACACAACACGAAGTTGACCGAAGACCCTCCTGGCCACGACTGCCACCTGCTCCTTGAGCAGGAATCATGAGTCTAGAAGGACCCCCAGATTACGCACCAGGTCTGTCTGGGGCAGTGCCACCCCATCGAGAACCAAAGATGGTAAACCCCCAGATACAGAGGAGCCTCCAATCCACAGCCAATCCGTCTTACCAGGGTTCAGTTAAAGCCTGTTGTTTAGAATTTTAAATCCCTTGATTTTTGTGTGGACTGGTTTCTGTATATTAAAATTGGGATGCTGCTTTGCTGACTGCCTTGAAGCTTTCCTGACTATGGGAACTGGTATTTTTATTCAAAATGGAAGTCCTAGCAACTTGAGACAAACTTCTTTATTAGCAAAATAAAAACAAAATAACAGTGGTGGTGAATCCAAAATTGTAGTGTTTTCCTGGATTTTAAACTCCTTCCCACTCTATTAAGACTTCTGTATATACTTAGTCATTTAAAAATGTAAATGCAGAATCTTCCTGTTGATCATTGGGATTCTTCAGCTATTCAGAGACCTTCTGAACCTTCCAGAGTAGCAACTTTCCATGTTTTAATTACTTCTTGCAAAGATAAATCTAGGCCAGATGTTTCCTTTAGTGACATCATTGGTTCTGCTAGTTTATTAACCCATTTTGCAGGGGTCCTTTCATTTTACAAACTCTTTGTTTCTATTGCTATTTATATTTTTGCTATGTTAAATCTCCACAACTTAACAACAACTTCATCATCCCTCTAAATAGGAGGAAAAACTCTGGGTGGAGAGCTTCATCCAAGATCTGATTTGGAGAATAGATGCTTTCAGTTAACTGATCTTGTTTGGTTCAGTTTTCCCTTGACAAGAAGAAAAAGTTTTTGATATCTACTCATTATCTCAGTTCTTATAATGTATACAGAAAGAGTGTTTCTGAAAATTCATATAATATAGGGGGTAAACAACTTGCTCCACCGATGCAATGTAATAACGCAAGATGCATTGCAATAATGTCACTGAGAAAGACAGGGCTGATTTTTTGCAAGGGTGGAAGAGAGGCCTTGAGTTCTTTTATCTTTGGGGATCTTAATGGTGAGGTGGAATGGGAGGCCTCTGGGAGGCAAACTCTTCCCACTTCCCACTTAAGTCTACCATAAGATGGATCAGAACTGTGCAACTGAAATTTAGGCATTTTCCTGCGTAAGGTGGCATGTTCTGAGGATGTTGGAGGGAGTTTAACTCTTACTTCTCTCTTCAATATATTAGGTGCTCTTGAGCTAGCTGGTATTATCTCAACCAGCCATGTGGAGATAATATGTCTCTCTCTTTTTTTTTAACTGGGTGGGTATAAAGATTGGTGAGATTATGCATGTTATGTATTTTGAGTGGGGTAAATGCAAGCAACAATTGGTGACCAAGGTTCTTTTTAAAAAAAATTTACATAGGGCCACAAATACTTTCTCCTGCTCTATCAGATTATTGGATATGATTATGAAGTAGTGAGAGTTCCCACTCTTCACAGAGCTTTGAATGTAGCCTTGAATTTTAATCTTGCAGAACCAGACATCTTAAAATCCATTAGTATCCAGCATCAGGCCCCATAGAGATGCCCTAGTAATAGTTCTGCAAGCTACTGTAAAATAAAAGTCCTTGTTTTGTGATTGGTTCAGTTGCGTATCATCCTACCAAAGGCCAAGGATGATTTGCTCACATTTTGTGACAGAAACACTGGAAAAATGTTTGTCTTGCTTAAAAGAACAAAGACAGTACAATAAGCAGTGTTCAGTATTTAGTGCTCTTTCAGGATTTTTTTGACAGCGATTTTGTTCTCTTCATTAAAATATGTATTCATATTGGCGGCTCTTGTTTCTACCCCTTCAAGGTATTTTGCAGTGTCAGTAGTTATTGTGATAAATGACCTATATGATTGTCCTTTTGCCTTAGCAGGTGTTCTCTTCCTCCTTCTAACCTGGCCTTATTTTTTTCTGTGACCTTTTCTATTTCCTTTCTAAAAAAAAATCTCAGGTAGTGACTCAGTTCATCAGAGGATAGAAATCTTTCCTGTCAGGGGGAAAAAAAAAAAGATTAGTCACAGGTGTTAAAAGCTACACAGAGCAATTGACTACAAACCTTGGCAAAAGTTATATGAATCTTACTTTCACTGTTCAGCTGATGATAGGAATGAGACAATATTCTATACCACCCAGTGGAATTAATGGGGAAGAATGAAAATGTGTGAAAGAGTTGCAGGGTCTGCAATCTTTGTTCTCTCTATCTTTGGTGGTTCTTCCAAAGGGTATCAATTTAAAAAAAGAAAAAGAAAAGACAAGAATGTGAATTATGTTATTCAAAGAGCATTTATTGTAACCCATTTTTTTAAAAAAGGCAATTCAAGTAAACTGCTCTAATTTCCCTGTGTGAGGAAACAGGTACTAAACATTTCAGGAACTTGAGAACTTGAAAAATGTGGATAATATACCATATCTGAAGACTACATTGCTGGAGATATCATAAGCTTGTATACTAAAGCGATGCAATGAAATCATTAAGTCCTTTTTTTCCCCAGAAACTCATTCATGTTGTGTTAATCTTTGGTAGGGGGAAAGTTGCCTGCTGAGTTGAAGAATTACTTTTAGACAAATAATGAGGAATAGCATATAGTCTATTTACATTCCAAGTTTGAGTATAATGTATAAATGGTCCATACAGTGAAAAATATTTGACAAAAGAAGTTTGCACAAGATACAAGATGGATATTAATTTTTCAGTCTTTACAATGAATTGTGTTTTATTTGTGGCCTATATTTTTACTACACTTTTCTCTCTTTCAGGTAATCCTGGTTTGGCTGGCTTTTACCAGATATTCATTGAAGCTTTGTATTTTGGCCTGAATCAGCAGTATCCAGTGTGGGTTGTAAGCCATGGTGGACACTGTAAAATTCCTTATGACGTCAAAAGAAAGGAAGGTAGTCTTAACAACTTTCTCCTCTTAGATTATTTATCAGTTGCCACTGCTGAATGCTTTGCCTATACAGATCACCTGCAACAGCTCTTGTACTAAACTATATGAAAATGGTGTTGTAGATTTTATTGATATTTCCATTTATATGTCTAAGACTAGTTTTTAAAATTTCATTCATTTATTTAGGCACTTATGTGGCTGCTCCATTCAAAGTGTCTGACTCTGGGAAGTGTACAAAAGACAAAAAAATCACCCATAAATAATGAATACAAAATAACATAGCCCACGAGAACATACTAAATAATAAAATGTTGAACAGAACTCAGAATGTCTCCAACTTGCCCACTGGGGACTCCCCTCAACCTGATCACAAAACCTGGCGAAGATCCAGGTCTTAACTGCCTTCCTAAAGGCCTATAGCCAACGGTATGTTTGGGAGTAGATCATTCCAAAGGGCAGGCAATAATGGAAGGAACATAAAAATTAGGAAATATCTCCCAAGACCCTTAAAACGAGGATGAATACTTCTCCAAAGCCTCAAATTATCTCTGTGGTATTGGTTTACCTTGGATCAACCTCTGGGATATGAAGCTTAAACCTTAAAAAAAATCAGCAGGAGACAATGGGTTGACCTGAAGCAGCAGTTATGTTTGTCTTACACAAAGTGTTTGCTAGTTACATATGTCCACAGGTAGGTAGTTACTCATTCTGGAGTAGAAGGTCACACAACAATAAGGCACCTGAAATGAATTGCTTCCGTTGGTTTTCACCATAAGCAAAATGAATAAACTGTATAATTTAATTCCATCTCAGGGCTAGAGGTGCTGCATGTAAAAGGCAGATTTTTTTTTCCTGCCATTTATTATGAACCTATTTAGCACAGGCAGATGGCAGCAACTAAACTAATTTTGGATGAGCCGCAAAAGACTGAGCCTGGTTGGTTTGTACTTGGATGGAACAACATCAGAAAAACCCAGAGCTGTAGGCTAAACTGGGTTGAAATCTGGAAAGAAATCCCAAAAGCATTGGCAAACCACTTTTATATTACTACCAAGAAAATTGCATAGACATATCCATGGAGTTAAACTTTATCAAGAGAGTGTTTGCTTTTTATACACTATTTAACTGTGAGTGATAGGGCGGACCTCGCATGTGTTACCAGGACCAATACACCTGGAACATTTTTTGTAAGAATATAGTGCTATCCTAACATAGAGGACAAGGTTTGTTACTGGTTGATTCAGAGTAGATGTGCATGTCCCTTCCTCCCAAAACTTCACTGCTGAACTTCAGCATGTTTTTCAGTCGTTTTAGAAGGTTTTAAGGGTAGGAATTAGTAGTTTCCCAGAAATTAATCTTCTGAACTGGAAGCAGTTCCAGACATCCTTCAGCATACCTTGCCCCAAACACTATGGAACCACTTCCAGTTTGGAGGATTAATTTCCAGAAAATCACCCAACTACCCCAGAAACAGCCAGAATGGCACAGCCGGAGGAGGAACCAAGCATTCTGGAGTTCTCTGGAATGTTCCATTCCAGGATTGATTATTTTTATCCTTTGTATGACAACAGCTTAGTCTTGTTGAAATTTAAATTCATGCCGTCTTATTTATACAATAAGGTAAAAGATATATATACAGGGTATATCAAAGGTCAGGCCCCATGGACAGTTTATTATATAAATTACATTAAGTGTTCGAATTGGTTGTCATTTTGTTCTAAAGACTTCATTACTCATTTAATGCATGACCTTTGAACATTCCTGAGTACAATAACACTCGGGAATATTTTCTCGGGAAAATATATTAATAAATCATATTGTGATTGGTCTGTGGAGCCTGACTTTTGGTACATCCTCTGTGTGTGTGTGTGTGTGTGTGTGTGTGTGGTATTATACTGACACACCCTTTGGTAAAAGGTTTATGTTTACAGTGCTTATGTCCAAGAGGGTTTTTTGCCCCCCGTTTTTCTGCACTGTTCTATTAGATGTTCATTCCTTAATTGTTCACTTCTGTATCCTAGCCCTGTTGATTCTCCGTGACCTTTCAATCCCGTTTGAGAGCACTGCTAGTCAAACATCTTGCTATTTTGCTGCACAGAGGCATAATGATATGGTGATTTTGGAAAAAGGCATTGGAAAGTTTCTGCTCAGTATCATGGCACTTGTGCTGGCAATTCATCTTATGCTTCATATTTTAACAGCTATCTGAAGTTGTTAGGTAAGGCCATGAAAGGTTTAGGAATGACATCCAAGTCAGATGAGGTTGTACAAATGCTGAATCAACATGTAGGTGTGAAGCAAGACTAGATAAGGGTGCTAAAGTGTAAGAAGTGCCTTTCCCTAGTTCTGGTTCAGAAGCTCTGATTGGTCCTTGATAGGAGTAATCAGGTCACAGAACATTGTGTTCTCATAATCTTGGAACTGGGCTACTGTGAAGATTTGTACATAGGGATTCTCTTGAAAATAATTTGAGAAGTTTAGTTTCTGAAGTGGAAAGTCCCCTTTTTGTAACCTTCAGCATTCTTCTGTGATTTCTGAAAACTGAACTCTTGCTCTTTTAACTTGAAAAACCAGATTAGAATTACAACCCTAAAATAGGCATATCCCAGTTACACCCTGCTAAATTCCAACCTGACCAACATATATGGCCTCACCCATTGCATCTCTTCCCCCACAAATGCTAAATGAACTCATTGGACGCCAAAAGATTGCCCCTCCCTGAGCTAGTGCAAAAGGTGGTCAAAACTGTAGCCAATGCAGAAAGGTAGAGCCATATCATAGCCAGGTAGAGTAATATTTTCCTTTCCTGGCTACAGTACTGATTCATTTACAAGTGCTTACGCTTAGCCTGAAACCCACAAATGGCTTGGGAACCAAGAGTGTCTCTATGAGAACCAAGCTTGTCAGCGCTTTAATGTAACCAGGAGGGAGTTCAACTGTTATGTAAGTCACTTCTCCTGGAGGCGCAAAATGCCTATTTAGCCAGGCGTTTTCATTTGATTTATTATCCTAGTTGATATGAACAGTTTGCTATTAGAGACAAGAAATAACAGTTTCACATACTTAGCATAATTTTATATATCATAAAATACAGTGGTACCTTGGGATACGAACGCCTCTACTAACGAACATTTTGGGTTATGACCAGCTTCGGTAGGAAAAATTTACCTCGGGTTACGAACTCACCTCGACTTACGAACCGGATCCGCAGCCATTTTCCCTGCTGCCACGCGGTCACGGCTTCCTGTGGGCGAGGTCGCGGTAGCAAGGAGACGTTCGGTGAGGC